GAATTCTCCCTAAATGTCCTCTCAGAGGACATAATAGGCCTTATTTTGCGTGTATTCAAAACCAGTTTGGGCCAGATTGTTCCCCTTGCTCTCAAACCCAGATTTAAATGAGAATACTTCTGACTAGAAAATGTCCATGAAAAAGGAGCTTTTGATGGTTGTCAGGGGCAGAGAGATTTGCTTCCTTGTTTGATGAGGAGTATAATTGGGATCCTTGGTTGTTAAAAGAGGGATGTGTTCACAGTCTGTGCAAATTCTTATGGTGCCAAGTACATTCTTCAAAGAGGAGTGTAAGTGAAATATTACTCAGTTATTTTAAAAAATGAAATATTTCCAGGTAAATGAATAGGACTAGAAAAAAATCATGAATGAGGTAATCCAGACCCAGAAAAATAGATGTGATATGTACTCTTATATGTGGGTATTAGCTGTTAAGTCAATAGTAAGCAAGCTACAATGAGTAGAACCACAGAGGTTAGATATAGAATAAGGGACCAGGGAGGGACAGACAGATCTGCCTAGGAAAGGGAATAGATAGTTATGGATGGAAGGGGGTAGAGTGTGCTTGAAATGAGAGAATCAAGATGGTAGAGGAAGGGAAGAAGGGGATGAAGGAGAGAATATGGGGAGAGGCAGGTAAACTTAAGAACCTTTTGAGGGATCTTATAAAAACCAAACACATTAGAAGCTTCCTAAAGTAGACACATATACAAATGCAATCCAGGTGAAATCACCGAATAACAGGGAGACAGAGCCACAACTGTTGCAGACTATTTGCTTAACTATGCAAAGATGTGTTGCATTTATTTAACTATGCAAAGACGTGTTGCATTTGTTTAACTACGTAAAGATGTGTTGCTGTTTTACCTAGCCTGTCTAAGGCACCTGATTGGTCTAATAAAATACTGAAAGGCCAATAGCAAGGGAAGAGGTGTAGATGGAATTTCTGGTCAGGGACAATAAGTAGGAGGAGGAATTTAGGCTTAGGAGAAGAAAGAAAAAGAGACACCAGGGAGATGCAAGGGACCAGACAGCCAGACATGGAGGAAGCAGAAAAGTAGGAGATACAGAATGAAGGAAGCCCCAAGGCAAACTGTAGATGAATAGAAACAGGTTAAACTAAGTTAAAAGAGCTAGAGGGACAAGCCTAAGCTAAGGCTAAGCATTCATAATTAATAATAAGTCTCTGTGTCTTTATTTGGGAGCTGGTTGGTGGGCCACAGAAAATTCCAACTGGACATCTCTTGTCACCAAATGAAGCTTCCAGTACCAGGAATGAGTTACATCTACATGAGCCATCATCCAAAGAGGTCTCATGGGACCCTTCAACCCAGGCTGTTTCCAATACTCTAGGTTGCTCTCCACAAACTGACACCAAGGGCCTATTGCTGAAGACAACACCCACACAACTCACAGACCATGAAAAAGTAGAGCTGGTGTCTCCATAGAGCCTTCACCGCTATGGGCGAGTGTTCTTGGTGCTGGAAGGCAACTCTGCACACTACCCAAGGAGAAGACCAGTTACAAAGCCTTCTATCTGCACTGGTGTCCTGCCTGCCAGAAATGCTAGCGCAGTGTAGCTCAAAGCTTCCGGGAGTAACCAATCAATATCTGATCTGACTTGAGGCCATCTTATGAGATGGAACCTGTTCCTGACTGCTTGAGTGACCAAGGACCCAAATTCAGAAAGCCCAGGGACTTAGGGGCAAACCAAATGCCATTCTACTAAGGGAGAGCAGCAACAAAATGACTCCTAATGGTATTCTGCTATACTCAAAGATCAGCCATCATCAGAGAAGCTTCCTCCTACAGCAGATGGGAACAAACACAGAGACCCACAGCCAGACAATATACAGAGAATGATAGGGCTTGGAACACTCAGCCCTAAACAGGGTATCTCTATTAAATACCTCCCTCGGGGCTCAGGGAACATCACAGGAGAGAAGGCAGGAAGATTGTAAGACCCAGAAGGGATGGAGGATGCCAAGGAAACAAAGATCTCCAAACACTGGCACAGGACTGGCATGCAGAAGAACTCACGGAGACTGAGACAGAATGCACAGAGCTTGCCTGAGTCTGCCACAGAGGGGACCCTAGAGCTCAAGGGAGAAGCAGACACCTGTCCCTAACCCAGAAGCCTTTCCAATTGATAATCTCTTTCAGTAAAAATTTAGCTGTCTTCAAGGGATTCTCACCAGGGAAACTAATCATAAGGGTAGACTACACACCCAGCTGTAGACGGCCAATGGAAAGTGAACTCAGGGGCATCTTTGGCGTTTCCGTGTCTCATATGTTTTATCAGAACTTTCTTTCTTTTTTCTTTTTTTTAAAATCTTTTTTAATTTTTTATTTGTATTTTTTTCTCCTCTTTTTTACCCTGTGGATCTTTTGTATGAATAATATGGCTTCCCGTTTTGGTTTTCTGTGGGATTCTTGAGCGTGTGAACGAGTGGGTCTCTGTATCTAGCTTCTGACTTTTTGCCTTTTCTTCGGCTCTCTTCCTTCTGTATGTTTTGTCCTATCCCAATGTATTTGTTTTTATTTTATCTTTCTAATTGTATTTATTAATCCCTTAGCAGACAGAAAGGGGGTGGATCCAGATGGGAGGGAGGTGGGGAGGCAGTAGGGGAAATAGAGGGAGTAGAAACTATAATCCGTATGTATTTTATGAAAAAAATAAATTTTCAATAAAAGAAAAAATAATAAAATAAAAACTACAAGCTTACTTAAGCTACCCCTTCTGGTTGCCTATTTTACCAAAACCTGAGACAGAGAAGCAGGAAGACCAAGAGTTCAAGGTCATCTTTGACTATGTAGATTATTCAAGCCATCCCAAGGTACGTGAGGTACTGTCTGAAAGAATGACTTGGAAAATAAGGGTAATCAGACCGAAAGGTTGACAGTGTTGTCAAGGTCAGGTGGGGTAAATCACACCTCTAAGCCCAACCATGGAGGAAGAAGACGCGTTGGGTTCAAGAGATCAACCTGGGTTACAGAGTGAGACATATAAACAATAAAAGATAAAGATAAGGGTGGAGGGATGGGGAAGGAAGCAGAAACTGAGGCACAGAGGCAAGAGGGAGGCGCTGAGCATGATGACAGGGTCTGGGTACCTCAGGCAGAGGTGCCTGGCAGGCATGTTGTCTGACCACAGTCTCCTGTTCTCCCAGTATTTGCTTTGGGTCACAAGTCTATGTATCCCCATTATATCAGCATGATCTTCTTCACTGAGGCCTCGTAGCTTGAGTTCCTAAAGACTCTCTCATCAGACAGATTCTCCTGGCTATTAAGGGAGAGAGGACATAGAGACATGTACAGGATTCTGAAGCTCATGGCTCAATAAGCATGTTTCCTTGGCTGTATTAAATAATGGAACACACACACATATGCCACATATGAAAGAAAGACTGTTATGCAAACAGACACAAGGCTTCCCCTGCACATTGGAACTTTCAACGTGGGCGTAGTGCTGTGGGCATGAACAGAGGAAGAAGGACAGTTGCAAGTTAGAGGCCAGACTAGTCTGCAAAGTGAGTTCCAGGTCAGCCAAGGTTGCAGAGCCAAACCCCATCTCAAAAAAAAAAGGAGGAGGAGGAGAAAAGAAGAAAAAGAAGAAGAAGAAGAAGAAGAAGAAGAAGAAGAAGAAGAAGAAGAA